AACCCAAGTCCTCTCTGAGAGAATGCCCCTTGTTCCTAGGCCTCGAAGTTCTTTCAGAAGTAAAGTTCCAATGAGCATAATGTCACAATCCAAAGCAGAGACTTAGGAATCAAGACATAAATGAGAGATCTGAACAAAGAAATAACAAAACCAGCCCCCTTAGACAAATAGAATATTCACCGCATCCATAAGACTGTAAAGATATATATAAACTTTTTAAAAAATAAAAGAGGGAACAAATTTAGCTAAGGAACAAGAAACCATCCAAAACAGCAAAGTACTTTTTAAAAGATTGGTTAAAATGAACATCAGGAGCTGTGCTATATAAGCATTTAAATAGGAATCAAACTTATGCATTTAAACAGATTGAAAACAGCTGAAGAGTTAGAGCAACCACCTATAATACATCATAGAAAAGCACAGACATAAAAATAATAAAAAGAGAACAAGAGTTTTTAGAGAAAACAGAGTACTAACATGTGGCTAGTGGAGTTCCGGAGGGAGGAAACACAAAATGGAATGGAGCACAATATTTGAAGGGATTGATAATAAATGAAAATACTCATAAGTGATGGAAACTATTCATTTATTCAATATATATTTTTTAGTGTCCTCTATAGAGCTGAGAGCATTCCAAAATGGGGAATATAGCAAAGAGCGAAACAGTTAAAAATCACTGCCCTTGTGAGCTGATACTCTGGTAAAGAAAATACAAAGGATAAACTAGATAAATAAAGAGAATGCACAGTATATTAAACACTGATAAGTGCTAAAGGTTAAGGGGGAAGAAGAAGGCTCAGAGATTGCTGTTTAGATGGTTTGCTTGGGGAAAGCCTCAGAGATGGGGCCTCTGAGTAACGGTCTGAAAGAAGTGAGGAACCATGTGGTTAGTTGGGTAGAAGAGCAATTGTTAGCTCTATGAGTATGCCTGTCGATTTCTAGGGAAAGCAGAGAGGCCAGAGAGCTGTAACAGAAGGAGCTCGGGGAGTCAGTCTGACATAATGAGGCTGGGGAGTCCAGATCATACAGAGCCTGTAAGCTGATATAAAAACACTGGCTTTGACCCTGACTGCAATTGGAGATGTTTGAGCAAAGGAATGACATGATTTGACCTGAGATTTAACAGAACTCCCCTAGCTATTGTGTGGAGACTGCCAAAAAAGGACAAAGCAGAGATGTAAGGAAACGATGTACTGGCTTATGACAATTCACTAAAAGGATGAAGGCGGCAGCAGGGTGGTAGCAGGAGGTATGGTAAGAAGTACTATGGATATCCAGGTGGGATAGAGGTGATATGTCAAAGAAAGACACAGAAGGATAATTTTCATTGTTTTTGGCCTGAGCAGCAGAAGGAATTGCCAATTACTATGATGGAAAATCCTTTGAAAGGATCAGGAATGAGGAAATAAGAGGAGCTCAATTTGGACCTGAAGTTTGAATACCTATTATTAGATTGACATATATAAAACTGGCAATCTTCAACTATTCTGACATACAAATATGAAAAGTGTATATAGTTCAATTTAGATATCCAGGAGAAAATGCTGACAGGGCAGTTGGGTGTTCATGGCAAAGGAACAGCAGGGAGACTTATATTAAGGACCTACCAACCTACACATGGCCCTTCAAGGAAGAAAGTGATGGCTGGTAGAAAAAAAGATAAAGCCGAGAACAGGGTGCTGGGATATTCCAGCCCTCAGAATAAGGAGCAAACAGCTTAGGAAAAGGAGAAACCAGAGACAGACAGGAAGAGTGTGAGATCCAAGATGCCAGGGGAGAAAGTGCTCAAAGAAGAGAGTGATTGCCTGTCTCAAATGTTCATGACTCGAGGGAAGAAAGAATTAACCACTAGATTTCATAATGTGGGGGGTCATTGGTGACTTCCATGAGAGTGTTTACAGACGACTGGCATGGACAGAAGTCTGGTTAGAGTGGGTTCGAGAGAGAATGAGAGGACAGAAATTAGAGAATGCAAGTGTAGTTGGCTAATCAAGAGTTTTCATGTATAAGGAAGGAGAAAATTAATGAAAATTGATGTAGGAACTAGAGGAGAAAGTCGTGTCAAGAAAGTTGTTTGTTTTAAGATGGGAGAGTTTACCTCTCAATTATACATTGAAGATATTGATTCAGTAAAGGGAGCTAAAATTTGATGGTGCTGGACAGAGACGGGATAATTCTAGAGTGATGTTCTTAAGGAGGTAACATGGAATGAGATCAATTGCACAAGTGAAGGAAGTGACCTTTGCTGGAAGCCCAGATATTTCATCCATGAGAAAAGAAGAGAAAGCAGAATATATAGACCCCAGGGCTTGGTGAAATGTAATAAAAGGAATTTGTAGAAATATTTTATGATTGCTTCTATTGTCTCAGTGAAAAAGAAGCAAGGTGACTTCAGGGGTGAGGCATTGGAGATTTGCAGAGAGAGGAGAAAGCATGCAATGTTCATCTAGAACAATCGAGAGTGAATGAAATAGAGCATCACAGCAAGATCACTGGGCAGCATTTGGGGCCCACTTGAGGTTAATGATCATGAATGTAAAGTGTGACCGGTCCACGGATTTGAGTGTTTTTCTCCAGACCCATTCGCTGCACAAGTGCAAGCACAGAGTAGCAGATATATTAACCAGGAAAGTAGGAGAGAAGAAAGGGAGCTGAAGATATAACCATGGCAATGATGGTTATATATTCCAAGGACTGTCCATGGAAGTTAAATTCTGGGTAAGGAGGGAAGTATGGACCTGACAGTGTCAGTTTCAGTGAAAGAGTGGTAGGATTCTGGGTTTGTCCAGGGGATGGAAGGTCTTAGAGTTTGAATATTTAGAGGCCTATCCTAGAAAGTTAGGAGGGGGTGCTCTGAAAATAAAATGTTTGAAATCGTGATTATGGAGGAGTTATGATTTGAAGTAATTATAAAATCAAGAGTATGAGTCCATGAGATAGGAGGGAGGACTAAACTGTTGAAGGGAAAAGGAACTAAGAGGCCAAGATTTGGGGCAGAGGAGATCCATGGGAAATTAAAATCATGGCAAATTTTGCCAGGTATAGAATGTGTGAGAATTATAGTGAATCAAGTGCTACAGTCTTCAAAACTATGACAGAGACATTTTCCACACATATATTTGGTAAATGACTGGTATAGAGCATGTCTGAAACTCATTTTTTAAACAATATTTTGTTTCTTTACACATTGTGGTAATATTATGAAGGCCAGAGAGAGTGATGAGATAGTAAGAGGGGAAAGCCATTTGAAATAAAATGGTCAGCAATGGCCTTTTTGAGAAGGTGGTGAGATGGTTTTTGAAGAAGGCACCTGTGCTATAAACTAGTGGAAAAGTCAAAATCCAAATTTTTAAGTAAAATATCAGACTGAAGATAGAAACAATTCAAAGAATAAGATATAAGAATGACCAATAAGCATATGACAAAATGATCAACCTTCATTAGCATTCAGAAATGAAAAAGGAAAACAGTGAGATAGTATTTTAGTATACCAGGATGGAAAATCTTTAAGAGCTGGCAATAAGAAACATTTGCAAGAATGTAATGAAACAGAAGTATGTTCTCCTAACAAGAGTATAAACTGTGAAAAACATTGTGGGGGGGGGGGCCTTGGCTGGTGTAGCTCAGTGGACTGAGCGCGGGCCTGTGAACCAGACAATCGCGGTTCGATTCCCAGTCAGGGCACATGCCTGGGTTGCAGACCAGTTCCCTGCAGGCCAGTTCCCAGCAGAGGACGCACAAAAGGCAACCATACATTGATGTTTCTCTCCCTCTCTCCTTCCCTTCCCCTCTAAAGATAAATAAATTAAAAATATATATTTAAAAAAACATTGTGGGGGGAAAAAAAGGGGAAGCATGACCTGTTAACTTGAAAAGGCATACAGAGTACCAATTAGCAATCCACCCAATTAGCAATCCACTCCTAGGTGTACATAATAAATATGAGTAACAAGTCCATGATTTAAAACCAGTAAGTCTGCATTTGATGCATACATCTAACACAGACTAGTTATTTAACTTTGAATAACTTACTTTACACTCTGAGCTTCACCTGTCGTGAAGATTGAAATAGATTTTTTTTTGAAGAGGGCAGGAGGAAACTTTGGAGATGGTAGCTATGTTTATGGTATTGACTGTAATGATTTCAGGGACATACACTTATTTCCAAATTCAAGTTGCATGCATTGAATATGTACAGTTTCTTGTATGTCAACCATGCTTGCTTTTTCTAAAAAAATCATTTTTAAACATTCAATAAAATGATGGACATCTAATAAGTGCTCAATAAAATGATTTGGTTGTATTAATATGGTTTTAATTGTATTAATATTATTAGTAGTTTTATAACAGCCTTAATCTTCAAGAAGAAACTGCCACAAATATTTTACTTTAGTGTTAAAACAGAAATCCTCTTAAAGAGAAATCAATATTTTCCATTTAACCTGAAATTAAAGAACAAGCATTAAAAGAATTTCATGGAGCATTGGGTGGGTCCATTTTATGATGGGAAAGGAGCGATCTATTTGAGTGCTCTTTTCTCTAGAATGCCTGAAATCACAGACAAGCATCACTAAAGGTAAATAATATTTGAAGTTCTAGTATCATTTTGTCTTCCCCAAGAATGAGATACACAAGTGTTCTGCCCCCTAGAGGCCTACAGAAGTATTTCCTTACAGTGACCTCCCAGCCACAGCCTAGGCCTTTGGGTAGCAAAGACACCGCGATTTCCACCGGGCGGAGCCTCTGAGGGGGCGGAGCTTAGCGTGAAGTTTTGAGACTCTGGTTCCGGGGCGTCCTTTGCACCCTCTTGCGCGCACGGGTCAGCGTGAGGAGCTAAAGATTCAAAAAAGATTCTTGGGTTTCCTACAACCTGGAATGCCGGCCTTCCGGCAAGCGAACCTCAAGCTCTGAGGACTGGCCCCCCGCCCGCCTCACTTGTCATCGACATTTGTCACTGACACTCGCCCTCTGCCAGGCCCAGAGAGCGCCACCTGCAGCGCATGGAGGTGATGGCCAGCCGACTCCTCAGCCCCAGGGCCTATCCTGCGCCCAGGTGGGGACCGCAGCCCGAAGGAGCCAAGCGCCGCCGAATCGAGCAGCCCGCGGGCCCCGAGTCCGGGACTGCGCCCATTCTGCAATATCTGGCGGGACCTCCGGCCTCGGGCACGCTCACCTCCGTGGTGGTCCAGGCTCTGGATTGTGCTTTACAGCTGCCCCTGGACAACGTCTACCTTGTGCTGGAGCCCGAGTCAACGTCGGTCCTGCAAGTCTCTGTGGAAGGTGGGAGGGCACACACTTATGCTGGCCCCCGGGCCTTCTTGGGCTTCGGAGACGAATACTTGGTAGGGCAGCCTGACAGCCTGGAACTCGGCGCTCTCCTGGACACTCCCCGGGAAGGGGAAGATGTCGCCGTCCTGCAGGGATTCTTCCGTGCTTGTGTCCCAAAGATTGCCATACAAAAAGAGGCCTAGGATGAGGACTCGGACCCCGAGTTCCTCCCTCCTTGGATGGACGCTGCAGCGGACTCGGTCGCTAGGTTCCGCCCATCAGCCCAACCCGCACAGGCCCACCAGAGCGCCCTCGCCTCAGCACTCCACCCCTATCCATTGAGACGCTCTCCTGGTCCCTACTTCCACTTGGACTTCCACATTCTGGAGCCCTTCCCCAGCTCACCGCTCCAACCTCTACCTCCCTCTCTGAATACAAGTCTCCACGTGCGACCCCAGCGCCCTCCCTGTCCAGCGAACAAGGCCGGGAGACGCCTGTTCCAGGAATGAACTGCCTTCTCCCCCCGCCCCCCCCACACACACACAATTCTAGCTACCCCCTTGGAGTCCCCATGGGATTTCCAACATCGTTTATCCTACAACCTCGAAACTGAGCACTTCATATGCGAACAGTTCCCTCCCCGCAGGCTGACTATACTACGCACATGAAGACGTAAGGAAGAGAAAGCAGATTCTAGACTTCATCTTTGAAATAGAAAATCTGCCCAGGAATACCAGACAACGTGTTTTCATACGTCTGCGCTGTTTTACAAGATCATTCCCAAGCACCTCCATTCCCCTTCGTATCAGTTATTTTCCCTCAAATTCTACTCCATCCCCATATTGTTACTCCTGTTTCTCCCGAATAAAGAAACCACTGGATTCCTCATGTTTTTATTTTCTTCGTACGTTTTCCCATTAATCTATAGTCTTGGTTATGGCTTTTCTCTTTCTTGATGTGTCCAGCTGCTCTTCTGGAAAACTGCAAAATAGTATAATGGTTATTTGACATAATAGCATGATGTTTGTTCATAGTTACCTCTTAACCTGCTGAAGTTCTCTTCCAGTCAGTTCACTTTTCATTATGAATAGCTGTTGGATTTTATCGGACATTTCAAGCATGCATTCGGGATATATATTTCCTTTTAAAAATCTGTTCGTCTGGTGATTTTAACCTATAGACTGATGTAAAATGTTTGCATTTCTGCTATTCTACATTATTTCATACCTTTTAAATTCTACCCCAAGTTTTTTCCTATGTAAACCAAACTTCTAACTTTTAAAAAGTTATTTATCATATTTGCTTCACATTTCTATAAAAAATAAAATACTATTGGTCAAACTGAAGTCAACAATGTGACTTTATTTTTTTAATATCAATACTATTTAGATTTAGCAACAGGCTTCACCAATTCTTCTCTACCTTTTCACTCTTACATTCCACTCTTGAAGTCTAGCCACAATTTTCTTCTTGCTGAAGTATATTCTTTAATAGTTCTTTCCACCATGTCCAGTGTATGGTAAACTGTCTTGGTTTTGTAAACCTGAACATGTTTTTGTGTGGTAAACTCTCTTAGTCTTATATGTCTGAAAATGTTTTATTGCTTATTCATTAATTATAACATGATGTTTAACTAAATATGTTAGTCCATTGCTATGCCATTTTTGTTGATTTTGAAAGCAAAAAGTCTGCCAATCAATGTTATTCCTTCTAAATTTAATTCGGCTGTTCATTTTAGCATATTTTAAAATGTTTCTTTTCCTTTGGGGTCCTACAGTTTTATTATAATGTCTCTAGGGTAAATTCTATTTTTATTCAGCTGGTAGAATTTGATTAACTATCAATATGGGAAATTATTTCTTGGCTAAAATCCCACGAAATCTTAGGCTCTATATCTTGGAATATCCCACACACCCCCATCTCTGGAAATCCAATCAGATATGCTATATTAGGCAGTGTTCAATGTTCCATTGCTCTTAACATCTTGGTATCATGTGTGTATGCCTTAATTCCAGCTTTCTTTATTCTTTAACCCAATTAACTAATTTTACTGTTTCCAGTATTCTTGTATATTTCTATTAAAAGTTTTCATTTGAAGATTATATATTTTTTTCTTTTCAAGATTTTTACTTCCTTCATCTTCTTTCAAACTTCTCCAGTTAGTATTATAAACTCCTATTTTTGTTTCATGGAAGATATTCCATACTTTATGTTTTGACATTTTTTAACATCAATTAATAGCTCAGTTAATTTGATTTCCTCACAGGTAAAATCTTTTATTTCATTTTCATCACACTGGATTGCCTCATGTGGTTGGTTGCCTCAATTTTCATTAGTGTTTGCATTTTGAGTGGGAATTCACCTTCTGCATTCCACAGTTATAATTTTTAGTTTCCTCCTAGTGGACCACAGCTCAGCACCAAGGCTTTTGGGACTCTTTTAACTCGTCTCTGTAGAAAGTCATAGGTTCAATCCCCAAGTAATCACACAGTGGCCGTTTTTAGTTTCAGCTTGGCTTTCCATGATCATCCACAGGCACTGTCATAAAATAGCGCTCAGTGCCTTTTCAAACTCTGATGATTGGCAGTAGGCCAATGTTCAGCCGTCTCAAAGGAGCAGAAATCCCATTAGTCTCAGTGCCACAAACACACCAAATATCAGCTGTCCATTCAGAGACTGGATTTTCTATTCTATTTCTTGTTCCTGGAGGTATGTGTCTTGCTTTTGAAAGTAAATGTCTATGTTTAGTATGATTTAACATTTTCTATCTCTGCTCCCAAAGGAAGGAATCCCCCTGTTCTACCATCTTGTCCACAATTCCCACCACAACTCATTCCTCCTTTCCCCCATACCACATCAATTAATAGTCCCCAGTCCCAGCCAAAGTATCTACATATTCTGAAGAGGGAAGATAACCCTGTTTGAAAAGCTGTCTACTACTGCAAAAGCCTCATTATCTACACTAGAAATAACTGAGGACATCAGTTTTCAACAATATCTGAGCCAAATAGTCCAAAAATCCTCAAGAACAACACTCTTGAAACTGATATATAAAAATTATTTTAACATTTTTAAAGCCATATCTCTGCTTATAAGTGTATCAGAAATCCTCTAGTGCCAAAAATGGTGACATATCACAAATCCAGAGAGGAAAGTGAATTCCTCCAATAGGTAATCTAACAAGCAAAGAAAAAAAACTCATAATACAAAAGAAAATGGGACTTAAATTTACCTTAAACTTACCAAGTCTTAAGTTTATCTTGAAGCTATAGAAGTCTGGACTGCATGGGAATGGTGCAGGATGGAGATATACCAGTGTTTTGGAACAACCACCTAAGAGTTCAAGAAACCTAAGTGTATTTTGAACTCACCAAGAATTAGGATGGCACGGGTATGGGAGAGAGTGACAGTAACCCAAGAGTAAACATACTTTAAAAGTGTGGGAGATAAGCCCTGGAGTTGGAAAGAGGCTGAAACACTACACCAAGACAGAATAGAAAGTGGCTGTACTCTGATGACATGCAATTCAGGAAGAATAGAGAAACGGCTGGAAAGCATATTTGGAAAAAATATGTATATATCATACCTCCAGACATTTTTACTAAGGTGTGGGAGAGAAAACAGCCTTCACTTGAGAAGCCTTCAGAGAAAACAATGTACTCAGAAGAAGCAAGTTCCAATTTTAATATAAAGATTTTTGAGTTTTGTGATTGGCTATGAGCCTCAGATGGCAGAATGAAAAGATGTAGAAGATAAAAATAGGGGGTAGTGAGAAAATACCATGTACTGAGTACCTGAAGATTTGAATCTGAAATCTGAGAGATGAACAGATTCCTACCATGAGTAAGAATAAAAGGCATAAGGAGATTAGTCTTCATGACCCTATGGCAGACAGAAGTGGCAAGACTTCCAGCACTGAAGGGTAAAGGGAGCATGTTTAAAAATATATTTTATATAAAATATATAGTCATATATATTATATGAATTTGGTGTTTGTAAGCCCACCAAATAACAAATTCAAAGAGAATAACTTTTATATACAGAAAGAAAAGACAACTACACTGAAAAAGCACATCACACAGATGTTATCTGAATGGCCATACATATATGAAAACCTCATGAATAATCAGAGAAATACAACAAATACATGATGAAAATCCATTTTACACCATCAGATTGAAAAATGCTTAGAAATCTAACCATACTAAGTGCTGTCAAGCATGCGGTGCAAAGGAAAACTTGCCCATAGATATAGAAATATAAATTAGGATAAATACTTAAGAAAGCAGTTTGGCCTTATCTATTATTGTTGGGGTAACACACACAACCCAACAATTCCACACCTGGATTTTTTTGCACTAAGTATATAGGTAAAAAGTCAAAGATCTCTGTTTTACCTGTCAATACTATTTAATTCCCTAATTCAACACATACCAAGTATTTAATTTTGTAAAATTCCCTTCTCTCCTCTGATCCTCACCAATGAGGACTGAATAACTTAATTTTTAAGCACGCAATATAATACAAGTCAGGTAGCAAGTTTGAATACAAAAAGTTAATCTTATGATAAATTTTGCTACTGTTATTAATTACCACAATCTGACCTCTCACAAAACAAAACGTAATTTAACTTAAATATTTTAAGAGCTTTTCTATTTTAAAAAATTGCATTTCTAATTTCTTTCCTGAATGGAAAGAACTTCAAGAACCATTTGCATTAGCAGTGGTGGGAGATGGGGTAAAGACTTTTCATAGCGTCCGGGAAAACCCTTAGAAGACATTAGGCATACGCTACCTCTAAAAGTAAGCAAGCAATTTATGAGATTGCGTTTTGGCTATTTTTTCCCCTCACGAAAAAAGGCGACCGGGCCCCAAACGAGCACCCAAGGCGCATTCCCCTACACTTCCTAGAAAACAAACCCTACCAAGGCACCACACTAAATCCGATGTTCTTTTTGGCAGAAGGCGGGGCTTAGAATGAGACGCAGGTCACCTGACAGCCCACGCTGTTAATCACCCTGAGCTCAAGGGTCGGCGGGAGGAGCGGAAGATTCTAAAGCTCGAGGCCAGGCCCTGAGCTCCCCCAGGCTCTCCTAGAACCAGCGACTGCGGGCTTCCCAGTAGACGACCCCCACCCCACCCGGAGCTCTGAGGACTCGCCCCGCGACGCGCGGTCCTGCACCCCACCCGCCCCGCCTCACCTGTCATCCAGACCTGTCACTGAGTGACACTCGCCCTCTACCAGGCCTAGAGCGCACCACCTGCCCCCGCCATGGAGGTGATGGGCAGCCGGCTCCTCAGCCCCAGCGCCTACCCTGCACCCTGGTGGGGACCGCAGCCCGAAGGACCTAGCTCCGCCAAGCGCCGCCGAATCGAGGAGCCCGCGGGCCCCGAGTCCGGGACTGCACCCAGCCTGCAAGATCCGGCGGGGCCTCCGGCCGCGGGCACGCTCACCTCCGTGGTGGTCCTGGCTCCGGGCTGTGCTCTGCAGCTGCCCCTGGACGACGTCGACCTGGTGCTGGAGCCCGAGCCAACGTCGGTCCTGCAAGTGTCTCTCGGGGGGCACACCCTACTGCTCGTCCCCCAGGCCCTCTTGGAACTCGGCGCTCTCCAGGGCGCTCCTGCGGAGGACGTCGTCGCCGTCCATCAGGGATTCTTCCGCGCATGTGTCCCAGGGGACGCCGCCCCGAAAGAGGCCTATAGCGAGGACGCGGACCCCGAGTTCCCGACGCCTTGGGTGGACGCTGCGGCAGGCTCCTTCGCTGGGTTCCGCCCCTACCCGCACAGCCCCATTAGAGAGCCCTCGCCTCAGGCCGCCACCCCTAGTCCATTGAGACGCTCGCCCGGTCCCTCTGTCAACCTGGACTTCCACCTTCTGGAGCCCCTCCCCAGCTCACCGCTCCAACCTCTGCCTCTCTCTCCAAGTCCAGGTCCACACGTGCGACCCCAGCGCCCTCCGGGTCCAGCGCGCAAGGCCCGAAGACGCCTGTTCCAGGAATGAACTGCCCCGCCATCCCTTGCCACCCGGCCCTGGGGCTAGTGATCTACCAAGACTCCCTGTAAGCATTTATCACCACTCAGAGGTGGAGTATCTTTATTCATAGACAGTGAGCAGCTATGGTTTTTGTTGGCTTTGTTAGTTTTGTTTTGTTTTTGTTTTTGTTTTTGTTTTTTAAATAAAATGCCTTAATCCGTAGCAGCAAAACGCAGACTCTGGTAAGGACCTTTAGCAAAGGGCATAGACCACATACAGCCGACCATGGATTTTTAGATCCCTCGCCTGTGCTGATAAACAGCTGTTTTTTCCACATCTGTCACCTTCAGCCAACTCCATTCTTGTTTCACCCCTACTGTTGCCTCAGACTCACCTCAATTTTTTCCAAATTTATCTTTTTCCCCATCACCTCCCCCATGCATTTCTTTCTCTCCATTCCAAGGTTATTTTTTCTTTTCTTTTTTTTTTTGTAGTTACGAATTTGCCTGTATATTTCCCTAATGTTCTGTGAGGAGGAGCTTCTGATCCACAATTTTTTTTGATCAGCAATATTTTTAGCATACACAATATTTGTTAGGAAGAGCCTTGTGAAAGAGAAGCAAAATAAACAGCAGTGGTTAGAGGGAGAAACTGAGATGCTACAGGTCCAGTAACAGCCTTTGCCACCTCACTGGGAGCTCTGGGTTTAGAATGGCTGGGCAGAGTTGTCCCAGGTTAGGCTGAAATAGCCCAATTGTTCATCAGTGTGAAAGACCAGGGAGGGGCCAAGGTCCTGGTCAACGCAGGCTTTTTTCAGTTGAGACAATCTTTGAAAGGGTGACAGTTGAAGGCTTTCTGTCCATAGCACTCCTAGCAGTTACAGGAACACCTCTCATTGAAGAAGAATCTGGGCGATGCACCACTCTGTCCACCACACCTCTCTGGTATTGGTTATGTCTTGATGTTCATCTCCATTTATTCTGGTCTTTAATTATGACTAGCAATGAATTAATTACAATGTTCTTCATAGAAGCCTTGAATATTTGGGTACAGTCTTATCACCAATTTTCTTTTTCCATTTCTTTTTGCCTTTCTAACACCCTTTCCCTGGACCTGGTCAAATAAGATAAATGCATATTGAATAAATAAATGAATCGATGTCACACAGATGTGATGCCTTGGACTTCTGGGGATATTTCTAAACTTAAAATATAAAACTAGTAAAAAGAATAGTTAATGAAAGGAGGAAGCTATAATACTGGTTTGTTACAGAACCAGTTTGTACAATGCCGTGTTCTCCTGCACTTTGACAGTCAAACGGGTTTTCTTAGTCATGGCCGTCTGGGCTTTGCCTGCATCCCCCTCACAGTGCTAGCAGCTGCTGCTCCCTCCAACTCCCTCTGTTTCACGTTTGGATATTTGATCTGACTTATTACTGAGCATTTTTTCATGCTCATAAGCCCACCACCCAGAATTTCCAGGTATTACTTCTTAGCATTATTTTCATAATGTTGCTTCGCTATAGAGAATTTCTACAGATAATGAAATCTGACCCCCACTTCCTGTCCTCTCCCCACCATTGCCAGAGGATTCTCCTCATATCATGAATTTGGTGGGTATCATGCTACATGTACAAAATACAAATAATCAATATTTATGTTGCTGTGTTGACAATCCATTTTATGTAACTAGCATATTTTTCAGTTTGCTTCTTTCCTCAACTTTATTTTTGAAATCATCACTTGTAAATATACATATGGTTCATTTCTCCTAAAGATTTCAGCTTCCATTATATGAATATACTATGTTTTATTCACTAATTTATTAATAGACATTTGTCTTCACAGTTTCTAGTATTCAAAACAGTACTGTAGTAGACATCCTCACACTTGTCATTGTATGCACCTGAGGACGAGTTCTTCTGCAAAATGTACCTAGAAGTTGTACTGATGGGTGGCGTTTACACTTTTATTAGATACTGCCAAATTGTTCTCTAGAGTGGTTGCAACAGTTCAAACAGCCTCCAGCAGTCTTTCCCCACACCATCTCACCAAGCTTGAAGCTGTTTGCCAATAGTATCTTATTTTTTTATGAGACTGGGCACATTCAGGGTGGTTTGGCCATAGACAGTATCTTATTTTTTTAAAAGTTGTAATTTCCTAATTACTGGTAAAATAATGCAATTTTTCATGTGTAATGAGAATAATATTTTAAAAGTAATTTCAGATATATGTTTATATGTTGCAAATCTTACTGTCTTTCAATATATTACCCACCAAATCTAGTAGCTCTAACCTTTCAGGGGTGGAGGACAGGTACCACCTAGATTAAAGCAGTCAGCTTTCAGGCTGGAGCTTCAGAGCTGACTCTTTTTCATTCATTAGTAGGCACCTATCATGAGAATCAAATTTTCTCCAGGAAGAAAAATTACAACTTAATTCCCTAAGCAATCTTTAAATCTCAACAGCCAAGTTTGGAAGTCTGAACATAGACTTTTAATATAAATCATCATCAGAGAGAACTGAGAAGTTCTAACTGGGCAAGAATAGAAAGAGGAAAGACTAGAGAATTTAAGCATTCATGACTCACATGTATCATGACTTCAGGCTCCTTTGAGTAAAAATCCTTAGCATTAGTTGAGGAGGAGGCCAAAGAAAAGGATCCACCTTGAGGAGAAGCAAGGGAAGGAGAAAGGAATCCAAACAGGTAACATTTACAAAACAGTGCCTGTGCTATTTAAAGGAAAGTTAGAACCGAAAATGTCTGAGATTCACTTATCTGGGAAGTCTATAGTGTACCTGCTCCTCATTCCCCAACCTCAAATCCCCCCTGTACCAATGAGGTACATAAAGTCAATGAGCTCATGAGGAAGATGAAGTCAATTATGTAACAAAGTTTTCTTTATACAATTGAATGTAAATATGTTTAATGACACATTTATTTCTTGTTATCAGTTTATATCCTTGATTCTTTTTGCTATTGCACCTATTAGACATCCCTTTATTTGAAATTATTTATATGTTAAAGATACTAATGCTTTGTTTTATATGTTATATTTTCTTCTAATATGTCACTTGTTTTTAAGTTATTTAATTGTAGAGACCTTTATAATTCTCATAAAGTGAAATTTTAGAATCTCTTATAATTTGCATTTTTCCCAGGAAAAAACATAAAGATATTTCCTACACTCTCTTCTGACAATTTTGAAGACTTGGGTTTTCTTTTTCAAATTTAGATATTTAATTTCTGGGGATTTTATTTTTGTGTATAGTTTGAAGTAGGGATTAAATTTTCTTCAGATTAAAAGCCATTGTGCCAAAGTCAATGATTGAATCACTTATCCTTTATGATTTGTAATGCCAGTTCTTTTCTATGCAAATTTCCACCATGATGGCAAACTAAAGACAATTTTAAAGAAACAAAAAAACTGACGTTGCCACCAGTAGACCCTCTCTTAAAGAAATTCTAAATGATGTACCTGAAGCAGAAGGATAGTGATCCCAAGGAGAACATTCTGAGAAGCACGGGCAGAAATAAGAACAAAGAGAGTGGTATATATGTTGGTGATGAATCTAAATGAATAATGCCTGACTAAACCATTAATAATGTTATAAGGTCATAAAAACCAAACAAAGCCCTGGCTGGTGTGGCTCAGTGGATTGAGTGCCCACCTGCAAAACAAAGAGTTGTTGATTCTATTCCCAGTCAGGGCACATGCCTGGGTTGCAGGCCAAGTCCCCACTTGGGGGCATACAAGAGGCAACCACATATTGATATTTCTCTCCTTCCCTTCCTCTCTCTCTAAATAAAAATAAAATCTAAAAAAAAAAAGAATACAAATTCTTCTCAAACTCTTTCAAAAACTGGAAGAGATCTTATTTCCAAATTAATTTTATGAGGCCAACATTACCCTAATACCAAAACCAGACAAGGATGCCACAAGAAAAGAAAATTTTAGGCCTATATCCCTGATGAACATAGATGCAAAAATCCTCAACAGAATATTATCCACCAAAATTCAACAATAAAATGATTACACACCATGACAAAGTGGGACTTACTTCAGAGATGCTAGTATGGTCTAACATTCTCAAACCAATCAGTCCCTCCTGGAGCCTTACGGTCCCACCTGTTAGATGGGAAGTGTCAGACTAAATCTCCAAGGGCCCTCCCAGTTCTGTCTCCTGAGGCTGAAGCCTGGAAACATCCATGACAGGTTACGGCAGAGGGTGAAAAATGCAGAGGAAACAGCAAGAAAGGTACAAGAAGGGAAAGAGTGGCAATGTCACCTGACAACTCCCCCTCAGCCTGACTCTCCCAGGTGACCCCTCTCCCAGGAAGCCTTCCCTGAAGCCTGCCCCCATGGCCCTCTTCCAGGCTCCCCTTAAGCATGCAGCCAGGGCCCAGATCACAGCCTGGCCATGGGTGAGGGAAAACTGGCGAAGTGAAAAAAAACAAACTTCTGAGGTAGAGAGTACGTAAAGCTAAGTGTGCTGCCTCCTCTGTGGGGCCAGCATTGCTGGGAATGACATGGAACTGAGCTGACATGGTGTGTAAATCAGTGCTGTGTGAGTGTGGAAGAATGAGATGGAGAAAGAAGGACCAAGACTGGGCAGCTGCCTCCCCAGAAAGAGGTTTGGGAAGGGGCAGACCAGCTGCGTGGTACTAGGAGTCCCGCCAGGGGCTAGGGCCCAGAGGCAGCTTCCAGAAATAAAGTTTTGAATGCATGCTAAGTACCCTGATCGAGGAGTTAAGGTTTGGAAGGAGGCATGAAGAAGCGGAAAAGCCAAAGAGAGCGGAGGAGTTTGTGAAGACACTTCTTGACCCCCCACCCCCAACTCTGCACCCTACTAACTCCTGGTCAGCTAGCTTACTGGCCTCTGATCCCCAAACTCTCAGTGGGGCTCTTCCCCCTCCTGTCATCATAGTTTTAGTTAAATGACTGTTTAGTATTTGATTGCTTTTCCTTACAGGGTGTTAACTTTGAGAGGACAAAGACAGTGCCCTGTGTGCCAGTGAATGGCCAG